TTATAAATAAAATTTTTATTTATAACATATTTAAAAATACGGAGGATTTTACTACATATGGACATAACCCTGTGGGAATTCAAGCTCCATCTAATCGATTGAACGCTTTGAGAAACAAAGGGTGCATCCAAGAATGTTGAATTCACCAAACCATGGAAGCGAGTTTAACTCGCGGGGTCCCATCCACACGTGTCAACCCTTCCAAAGGTAAGGCTTTCGCGCGGTGCATCCGGACTCATAACCATGGACCCTCTTTGACTAACCCATATCCTGAACTTTGGAGAACTAGAGCCATGGTTAGGTTGCAAACTCATTGCATCATATTGTGACTACATGACTAATTGTGCATCTCTTACTTGTGCATACTTACATGTGATTAAACTAACCGTTTGGTTTGACTTGTGTTTGTAAATAAGTCTTAATAAACTAACCAAGGACTAAAAGACTTTGCTTAATTAATTGATTAATTAATTTTAATTAAAGAATAAACTTAAAATCGAGCCATAGTTCCTTTAAGTCAACCCGGATTTTTATTCCCGTATACAGCACAAGTGTCAACTTGTTTTGGTCATAACTAGAGTTCTAGAAAGAGTTACAAGTCGTACAATCTATGGATCTGTAACCCTGAGTTTTAAATTTAATTAGGAATTGGTTTCATCCCAATCAGAGTCGCAGATCAAAAGTTATGACTAAAATACCACAACCTATCAAGTTTAATGCATATACACGAAGTCTTAACTTAGTCTTTGCTTGGGTCTAGTCACATAGTCTAGACACATGGTCATGACACGAGTCTTAACATGTCATCTACACTGACCAATATTAGCACACAGTTTGTATATGTCACCATGACCATGTCTTAGGTTCATGCATGAGTCGTTTTTCCGTCATTTGAGTTGAGGGTCCATTCCATTTCTATTCTCTTCCATATCCTCTTTCAATCTATTGCATGTTCAATTGAGCGTGAGCCAAAAATAATAAAAATCTTATCCCTAATTTCCCTTTCCACAATACTTGGTCAAGGAAAGAATGGCGATTAACCAAAGACAATACCTTCATTCAAGTTCAACTTTTTGAAAAATCGATTCATCAAAATAGAAAAGCTAAGAAGACAATGGCAAGTCAAGAAGAAGTCAATGAGCTTAAGAAGAAAATGGTTGACGCGACTGAGGTGTTGAAGGCTTTAACCCTTCAAATCAATGACCCTGTTAAACAACAACAAATGGAGCTCATGCAAGAAAGCTTGAGAAAAATATCCAATGACTACAGGTTCCAAGGCATAAGCTCACAAGGGGTCTTAGTTGACAAGGAGCTTCTTCCGCAGAAGTTCAATGCCAATGACATCCCTAAGTTTAAGCCAACTAACAATCCTTACTTTCATTTAAGGTGCTTTGAAACTGTAATGAACATAAAAAGGATTTATAAGAATATTTTTCACTCTTTACTCTCGCTATCTCTTGAAACCATTTGTCAATATTGGTTCTTCTCCCTTGATAAAGAGAAGAACTCTACTTGGGATGGAATAAAAAATGCTTTCATTGATAGATATAAGTGTAATATTCAAATTGAAACCGACCGTAGACGACTTGAGATGCTAAAACAAAAAGAAAACAAAGGGTTCACCTCCTTCTTCAACAATTGGAGGGAAACTTCCACTAACATGATCGAAGTCCATACTGAAAAAGAATCTGTGAGGATGTTAATAAAAAATTTACAAGAAAAGTATTCAAAGCACTTAAAATATCAACATAACTTGAATACTTTCAAGTTCATCTATGACATAGGCATCGAGATCGAAGATGACCTCCCAAAGCAAAAAGCTACTAAGAATAGTAACCACAGTAGATGGAAAGGGAAGAAGAACGACAATCCTTCTTCTTCCGAAAACTCCCACTGTAGTAACAATGTTAGTACCTTTGATCTCAGTGAAGTCTTAGCCATGGATAACCAAGGATCTAAGAAACAACTAAGGAAAGACTTCACCTCCATTGGGATGAGCTATGATATTGCTTTTTACCAACTCCATACCAAGGGACTTATTACTCCCATTGGACCTATTCAAGATCCTGCACTTGAGAAGAGATTGCCTAGTTGGAACCCAGATGCACATTGCAAGTACTGTCAAGGTAGGGGACATATCACTGAGAGTTGTTTGAAGCTAAAAAAGGTTATCCAACATTTGATCGATAATAACAAGCTTCTCATACCTCCAGCTAGCAAGAAGACCGGGTGATGAGCACAAGACAAGAGGCGGGCTTCAACGACAAGATTTCATGACTTCTTTTTCTATTTTTTATTTTATTTTTCCTTTCCCTAATAAGTCTAGCATATGAACCTTTTATTTTCCATAGATCTTATTTTGAACGTTTTTCCTTTTTACCTTTTCATAAAATGAGCATTTATTTTCTTGCATATGATCATTGCATTACATCCCATTAAAAAAAATTAAAAAAAAAAAACCACGTCGAACTGAGCACAAGGTATACCCATGATTAGAGGCACCCCTTGTATCCTATCATATCATCTCCACCCTTTCAAATATACAATCCTTTTTTGATAAACCACTTTGAGCCTCGTCTAACGATAGACCTTTCTTTCTTCAACCCACATCTACCTAACCTTGGAATGGGACAGTGTGCAACTTATGCAATTTTAAAAAGCTTGAGTGATTTCAAAAGATCAAAATAAATAAAATAGCAAATATAATAAAAGTGTACAGAAGGGTAAGTGTTCCAATATCTTTGATATGAACACGTCTCAGATTGCGTTTCTTATCGAGTGCTCAGTACTGTGCAAAAGAAACATGAACGCCAAGTGAGTGATAGACCACATGATCGGGATTGCCCACACTTATAAAAATAAAATAAATGCTAAAGCAGAAGAGATCTAAAAAAGCGTTAAAAGCTTCAAGCATAAAAATATAAAGATTCAAAAGCAAGGTTGCACACCTTGGGGGCTTATCTAGGGTCTTGAGCCTGTCTCGCTTTCTTCTATAGCCTTTAGCCTTACCACTTTACAACCCTTAAAAAGACCTTTTTAAGGTATACACACTTGTGCGAGGTTCGGCTAGAGCTATGTTCGGCCTGATACGTAGGCAACCTCACATCGAGGTGCGGCCACAATAAAAATACATTCATAATTGATCATATCAAGGGATCTCCTATGCTCATCCCTATATACTTAGAGCTGGACTTTGAGGATTGATCCTTACATTATTAGCCTACCAAGCCTAAGAGTCACCACCATTTGACCCTTTTTAATATATATTTTTCCACACACTTAGGCTTTGCGGCCTAAACTTAGTGTCACTATCACACACATCACAGATATATGACCAAATATACTTCCCTTAGGAACCCTGTGTCATGAAATCTTAACACAACACTGAAGCATGCCTTGTCATATCATCATCAATCATCATTGCAAAAAGAAGTATGAAGTCTAGTGCTTAACCTCTGTTCCTAAGTTACCTAAGTATTTTTATCAAAGATATCCTAGGATGAATTAATCCTTGCACCTTGAGAGATAGTATCAAACAACATTTGACTAAGCTCATTCAACATGCACCATCAAAAACTTCTTCCTTTTTATGTCTTTCTTTTTCGGGAGAAAGTCGGTACCCTCCACAAAAATGACAGAAATTTTTTGAATTTTTTCTTTTTCGCATTTTGAGTCAAGCACACCACAATACAATGCACATACGAGTCATGAGTCACACATGTCAACTCACCTTGGGTCAACCTCAAGTCAGTTAGTCACATTGAGCCAACCTCAAGTCAATGAGTCAAGCAACAATAAGTCTTAGGTCAACCCTAAAGAAAGATAAGCAAAGTCCTATAGTCCCAAATATAAATGCAGGTACATTCCAAAGAGAAAACGAGTAAGAAAATTTCCGGATTTTTTTCGAAAAAACCGTGAATACAGATGTATGAGATTCTTCTAGGGATAAGAGGAGGTTAAGCAAAACATACAAATTAGAGATGAAAAGCTTTAATTTTAGCGGATTTGGTTGAAAGGAAAAGACCATGTTCAAAGTTCAGAAGCGAAACCGAGCAACGAACAGCAACAACAAGGGAAAAATAGGGAAGACCCAACTCCAGCGCCAGATGACAAGGCTGTCGCCTGACAACATAAGCAAAGTGCGGCGACACATTTTCTAGCGGGCACTGGTGCGGCGACATAATGCGTGGCCCCCATATTAGATTATGCGAACCTAGTGCAGAAATTTTCTGGGTTCCTTGGTACGCCAGTTAGCTCCACTAAGCAATTTACATGATTTAGTAATTGGCTCGATTACAATCACATAAAGTTGTCGATCTGATAAAAGATCGTCTTACTTAGCTTAAAGAGCCTAAATATTTGCTCATAGCTAAGGCACCGATATAATGGTTAACAAGCAGTAAAAGCACCGACATAAAGTTTCACAAGGAGTAAAAAGCACCGACGTAATGGTTCACAAACATAAAAAATGCACCGACGTATTGGCACTGCGGAAATTACAGCAAAAAATGTCAACATCAAAGTTCAAGCGAGCTTTAAGGATCGACAATTGTTGGTCTTCGGTAATTTTCTTTGGAACATTATCGTAACAGCTGAGGATGACATCAAATTAAGTTGTCTTCGACAACATTCCCTAGGATATGGAAGGTTGTCAGAAAGCCACTACTACAAAATTTGGAAAACATACCGCTTATTAAAGACCAGTTATTTAACGAACGAGTTTGTTTGATGTAAGAGATCCAATATTTAATATAACAGATCTCTTATATATCCTAGGGCCCACCACTTAAGAATATATGAGATATAAAAGACCTAATTATGCACTCAATGGGTCTCTTAGGTGTACTAGGGCCCACACACTTGATTGAAGAACAAATGAGGAAAGGATATGAAACCCTTTATCAAATTTTTTTCACGGGTCTCTTCCTTCGGCCTTTAACACATGATCTACTCTTATTTTCCATTTCTTTTTACTGTTATTTTTTTTTTTTGAAAAAACCCCAACGGGTGTTCTTATTACTGTTATTGTTTTATTTATTCATTTTATGTTCTCATCTAAACTCACATGTTCCTAATCTATATATTTTGACATTCTCTCTCCTCAAAACCCTAACCTCAACCCACAAATTAAAATCCTCATCTTCTCGCTCATCCGAATCCGCCGACTATCTTCCATTTACTTTTCAAGCTATAAAAATTTCCACTCATTGTTGAAGCGACTCCTACCATCTCCATAAGAAAATCATGCTCTAAGGTATATAGTTTTCTGTCTCATTCGTGATTTTTACTCCGTCTTTTAGATCTTATGTTGGGATTCAACAATGATGTCTATGTTCTTCTTTTTTGTTTGAAAAATTGCAGAATTCAAACCTGAAATCGTGCGTGGTCAGCTTGTTTGCCGTTTTTAATTGGCCTTGATGTCGGTTAGGATGGAGGTTTTTGGATTTTTTTGTTTTTGTGATTTGTTCAAAGAAATGAAGGTATTTTGGTAATAGGGGTGGATAACTCTTTATGTTTTTTTTTAGATCTATCAGTTTGGGTTTGGATTTGAGTTTTCTTGATCTTGATTTTGGGGATATCATATTCATAAACTTGGACTATTTGAATTCTCTTTAATTAATGATTAATTTCTATTTTAGTATATTCTCAATTTTTATGTCCAATTTCTTCTTATGGCTGGTATTTTGATTATTAGTCTTGGTTGTTCTTGATTATTGCAGCATATGAAATAGATGGAGATAGTGGACGAAATAGATGGGAAGGAAGACATATTTATGCGTGGTCTTCTTGAGTATTTTGTAACCAAAGAATCACAATTTGCAAATTTGTTGACTGCTAAACTTTAGTGCGTGGGGTTGAAAGATTATTGTCAATTGAATTTAGTTAGAACTTATATACTGTATGTTGTATGTTTAGGAATTGTGTTTGTATAATTTTTATTTATTTTTCACAGAGTGTTTGTATAACTTTTTGAACTAAAGAGTTGCAATTTTTTATTTTGTAATTATATACTTGTAAATTTGGATCTGTAGCTTTGTAAATGTTGTATAATACTATTGTTGTTATTTAAAAAAAATACCAATGATGTTAAATTGTAATTTCGTAATTTTATTTATTTTAGCGTAATAAATATAAATTTTAATAAATATGAAAATTATTATTTTTTTTAAAAAAAGGGATCAAACAGACTCGTTATTTAACGTATGTGGTTTATTTGACACCCCTCAAAGAGACCCCCAATTGCAAATAACGGGTCCTTTCCCTTTAAAGTGCATCAATTATACACAACACCAAACAGACCCCTTATCTCTATTAACGGGTCTATTTGTTGTTAAAAACATACCCCCATAATGAGGGGGTCTCTTTACCAAAGAGACCCCTGAGATAGAGACTCGTTATTAACAGGTCTCTAAGGCATATTTTAATGGGTCTCTTAGTCTATTTTTGTAGTAGTGAGCTGAGGACGGCTTCAAGGGAAGTTATCTTCGACGACGTTCGCTAAGATTGTGGAGGTTGTCACCAAGATTTGAGAAGATAGCACGAGATGGGCGGTCATCGACGACATTCGTTAGGATTGTGGAGGTTGTCACCAAGATTTGAGAAGAGCGGTTCGTGATGAAGCGGTCTTCAACATCTATCACTATGATTGAGAAGGTTCTCACAACGTCAAATGCAGCAACAAATCGGTTACTTTAGAGACGTGTTCTCAACGGTGCAAGATACGCGTTTCGTAACTCTTTTATCTTTTTAACTAACGCTAGTTTGCAGGTATTGGCGTTAGAAGAATGATTTATGATCGCAAAACGTTCTGAATCATTCTCCGTCCCAATCGCTACTTTGACTTTTGCTTTTGAAAGTTGCGTTTCTTCAAACTTAGTCAAAGTAGGGGCTTCTGTAGACACCCAAATGTGTCTCCCCAAAACCAAATCCGATGATGAATACATTTTGCGTCAAATCATATTCGAATGAAGTGAAAGTGTGAAAATTCTAGTTATGAGGATGTTTTTATTAACATAGCTCTTCCTTTTGTTTTTGAAAATATTTCTTTTCATACCCTATTTATGAAAAACGTGCGTTCCAGTTTAGTTTGGTCCATGATATGGGTCCAATAATAATGTAATTGGATAGGGCTTGAAAAGACCTTTTCCAACGATGTATTATATTATAATCCCAATTCCGAAGAATAATGAGGAAGTTATGGCAAAAATACTAAACTGGGCCAATGATCTAGAGGAGGGCCTATCATTCCTAAAGCTATTAGGATTGATTATAGTCTTCTAGAATACTATAGAAGGTTATTTTTAATCTTAATGGATTTAGGATTTATAATTATGTTTCAAAGAGTTTGAAATTGAATAAAACTACTCATTTTGAGAAAAACTACTCCTTTTGAGAATCCTTGTTATGAAATGGAATATATTCAGATATTATTTTCGTGCCTCATAATATTTATCCAAATCGTATATTGGTGGATAGATCTTGAAATTATCTTTCCAATGGTATATTATAATATTAATTTCGAGCTATAACGAAAAAGATATGAATGAGATACGAAATTATATGCAAAACTGACACCCTTCTACTATTTTTGCCATATATTTTTATATTCAAAATATTTTAATATGATTCTAATTGGGTTGGAACGTAGACTTTAAGAGCTTTCCAAAGACATATTATATGCCTTATTTATTCTTTTAGATCAAAAGATATGATAAAAACAAAATCCGCAAAAACTGTCTTGCAATGCCAGACGACAGGTTTATTCCTTTTCAAACTCTGATTCGTTTCTATCAATTCCGGACTATTTTATTATAAATAGGGTCCTGGGACCTCCGTTTTTAATCATCAACTCTCATCAAGAATTTCTTGATTTTCTCTCTCTCTCTTTCTAAATAGCCCTTTTCAAACAAAATTCCGCATTCACAAGATCTAAACACACCTAGCCAAATTCGAAGTTGCCTTCTCCGTAGACGTGAAAGGTTTAGTATTTCTGAGTGTTTGGTCACAAATCTCTATTTCAATTATTTAATTTAATTGTTTGATTTTATATTTTCTTTAAAGTTACTAACGTGTGTATTTTATCATTAGATAGAGATACGAGACATCCAAGTAAGTGCTTTAATTGTTTAATTGATATTTTGATATATAAATCATGTTTAGGTTGTTATCTTTATTCCTAGTATCATGTTAGGATGCTTTTTCTAGTATCATGTTAGGTAGCTTTTATTAGTATGATGTTTAGGGTAAAGAATAAGTTCCTTATATCAAGTATGATAAAAAAAGATGCTTCTTATTTTCTTTCATAATAACATGTTAGTATCATGTTAGGGTTAAATCTTTGATCTTTAATGTTTAAAGACATGCTAGGATTTGTTATTAATATTGTTAGTATTATGCTTTAACATGATTATAAGTGATTATTAAGTTATGATTGTTATAATTATGATTATTATTATGTTGCTAGATATATTATTATTGTTATTGCTTGATTAGACCTTTTATGGATGTTTATGGAGAATTTGTACCTGTAATCATGCTTAATGTAGACATCTATTTTAAGCCTCCTGTCCCGATAGGAAGTTCAATGACGATAAATAAAACCATCTTCGTGTTGAATCAAAGTAAAGAATGCTTATGGATAACTGGTTAAGCCACAAAACACAAAAGACTAGCCAAGATAAAAAGAACAAGGCCAACACAAGGTCCAAATTAACTAAACCCGATCATAATTAGGCTTAAGCCCGTGCTTAAAACCCAATAATGAGGGATTTAGGAGCATCTAGGTTAAAATAAAAGTTGCCGCGGAAAATATCGCGCGCATCTCACAAAGTCGCGCTTAGTATTCGCGCGCAATTTATTAAGTTGCGGGCGGCAGGCCGCGCAACTTTCAGAGATGCGCTCGCGTAAGATTCAGAATATTAAAATATTTGAAAATCAAATCTTACCATATAGCTACGCGCAAGACAAATAGTTGCACGCGTATACCGCGCGCGACCTATGCACTTGCGCGCGACAGCCGCCCGCTACCTACTCAGTTGCGCGCGACATCTGCTGCGGCAGAATGCTATAAACCCTAAACTTAATCATTCCCTATTATAGGGAATATTTCAAGCGTTAATCCCCTAGCTTGAACCCCACTTTGGTCATACAATAAAGTACGGTGGCGTCCAAAAGGGAAGAAGATAGAGCAAAAGAGTCGCCAACAAGTTTTAGGAACTTGAAAACCGTTCACAGGGTGAAGGTTACACCCCTTAATGATCCAAGAGATCATCAACTCCATCAGGTCTTGAACCAAATAAGAGTTCGGGGATGAAGGTACTAATCCAACCTAAAAGAGATTGAACCTGCCCTAATAATAGACCTCTACTTTATTCTGATCGTATTCATGTGCGCTTTCTGACTAACATGCAATCAATAGGTTTAACCCTAAACCTGTTTATCTATGTTGGTTGAATTTAATGCCTAAATAAATCTATTATTGGCGATCACTTGAATTATAATCAAATTAAACCTAAATAAGATGTTACTGGATACCATCAACCAAATGACAACGACGATGATTTATGTGACTTGTAGATCAATATGGTATTGGTATATCTAAGCAAAATTTTTTATTTTAATCAACATTAACTAGAAAGGTTTTTGATCTTTAACTCACGTATTTGTTTGTATAGAACAAATTTTGTATGAATGATTCAATTTAATTGTGGTTGGATGTTTTAAATTATATATATGAAGTATATTTTGATGGCTAAAATGAAATACAAAAATAATGTTTTTGTTAATTTTATTATACAGAAAGTTATATTGCACGTACAGGATCTTGGATTTATTTTATATATGAAATGTGAAGATTTTCTTACAGGATATATAAATTTACAAGATATAAAACAGGAATACATGCAGGTCTAAAATGAAATACAAAAATAATTCAGATTATTAAAATACAGGAATAATACAGTATAACATACGTAGAGGGGTAATTCGAATAATTAAATACATATGGCCGGATTTTTTTTTTTTAAAAAAAACATTAGAGAACTGTTATCTAACTTAACCGTTCTGTATTCCTTCCTTAGTGTACGAATTTAAGAAGGGAAAAGAGAACGGTTGTGATTAACAACCGTTCTCTATTTGTTATTATATAAAACGCCTACACGACCCGTTCTCTATACTTTATACATCGCTTAGCAGAAGAACGCTCCTAAGGCGATCTATAAAGCCTATTATAACAGTTCTCTAAGGCCTTTTTGTAGTAGTGTCATCTAATAAGCTACCTCCATGAGATTCTGAAATTCACAAGCAAAACATCAATCATCCTTAGCTCTTAGATTCCAACTAGATTAATTCAACAAAAAGGCCAGTCAATAACAACACCACATTAACAATTTACAAGTCTCTTTATGCACAATTGCCAATGTGATTTGAACATTTTGGTTCAGCTTTTTACATAATTTTGTCCACATAAATCTCGAAGTTCAAGTAATAAATCTTCGTATCCATTGGATGCACATGGATAATGAAATGTATACATTTTAAAAGACAATGTTAGACTGCATGTTTTAAGAATCTGATTCTAGTGAGAAATATAATTTTTTGATACAATTAATGATGTTTATTCCACTTATAGCATCCTCTGTCTTTATTTTCTTGAAGGGTGTCTCGACAGCTAAAGAGGTATACGAGAAACAGAAAAAGGGTTGTTTATTTGCTTTCTTGTGTTTCTTGTTTATTTTTTGCTCAATCTAATATGCTTTAGCATATATGAATCATTTTTAATAAAATATTCTAGCATATCATAGAGCATATCACTTTCTACCAACTGAAATTCATATTCTAAAAAGGGACAACAACAAGAGCAGTTTTAAGAATCCGAGTAACAACAGCAACATCTACAATATGATACCTCTATAGATTCAACTCACCAGAAGTGACCACAATCAGAAAACTCCTATTCTCACTAACAATCACCAGTGATTCTCTCCTATGCTTAATCCTTCTTCACTTCTCACCTAATCAACTCCAAACAATAAAAAAAAAAAGGGTAAAAACACAAAAAATTAAAAAAAAAAATCAAATCCAAACAAAAATCCAAAAAAGAGGGAAATTACCAAGAAAACTTCGTTGAGGAAAACACCAGATCCTCCACTGCATCATCTTCTTCACCAGAATTATACACCGGAGAGTGCAATTCGGCTACAAAAACTTAGAGCGGCGATTTAGCCCACCATTGCCGTTGTTGCTAGGACCGATCGATGCGCCATGAACATGAATAGAGAAAGAAGATTAGGAAGGAGGAGAGAGAGAGAGATTGAGAAAGAAGATAAGAGAAAGGATGAAAGAGTGAGGAGAGCGTTGAGGTACAAAATCGGCTAAGAAGATTTAGGAGAATAAGACCCTAACGCGTCACTTAGGTGTAACCGCGTAACTGATGAGTGTCATTTATGACACTCATTTGGCTTCTTTAAGGATGAATTTCATGCCATTTTATAGCTCTTTTCTTTAGTTTTCCTTAGTTTTGTTCTTTATTTGTTTAGTTTGTGTTTTCCTTAGTTAGTTTTCTTTCTTTGTGCATTTCTTTATTTAATTGGTCTTTTTCCCTTTTATTTGCTTGTTTTCGTGTATTTTCAGGTTATGATCGTGTTCCGAGGATTCCCGAGCCTTCCTCTCATATTTCTCATCATTTTGGATGCCTCTTGCTTGTCATTTGGAGCTCAAGTTTGAATGAATGCAAGGATCAAGTTCATGAGATCGGTGCATGCATGCGGTGGGGGCATCATCTTTGGCATGAACCCACCAAAATGGCCATTTCAAGACTGCCTACCTTAGTGTTCATCATCATCACCAAGACGAGCGCACGAGGATGAGCTAGGACGAAGAAGAGGATTGCTCCCCTGCTGCCAAGTGCGGGCGCGCACGAGGGTGGTACCGCCGCGCACCTGGTTGGCGTGGGCGTGACAAGTGGTGGCGCGGGCGCGCCTGCCTAGGTCCATGTTCCGTACCCTTTTTCTCGCGGTCGCGCCTCTCCCTTATTGCGACCGCACCTTCCGGGGTTTCTTTTTGGACGATCTAACTAACTCTTCTTTTGTATGTTTCCTTTATATAGTCTTTCCTTCTATTTTAGAGGGAGAGGATGATTAGAGAATAGAATGAGAATTAGTTTTTGATCAAATTAGAGAGAGATTTTTAGAGAGAGAAACTCTAGGTTCTAGTGAGAGAATTTCATGGTGGATTGTTGATGATTGAAGATTTCTCCATTTCCTTTGATTTTTGATCAAGTTTGTAAGGATTCCTTTTCTTTAATGCAATCTTTAGTTTGATATTTAGTTTGATTTCATTTGTTTTGTTGAATGTTCAAGTTTGATTGAAGTTTGATTGATTTGTGTTTGATTTTAGCTTGTTTGATTTGATCATGATGAATTTGTTGTTTAGTGTTGTTTTGATCTTAATTTCAATGGCTAGTGAGTAGATTTCTTGCTAGGGTAATGGTGAAGCATGTATGAGTAATGGATTAATGCTAATTGGGGAAAATTGATGGAGTTGATGATGTGATTAAATTGGTTGATGAACATGTGCATATGTGTGATTAATTAAAGAGTAGCTAACTTTGATTGTTGCACTAGATTGCATTGTAAGTTCACATTGATACGGACCATTGATTTGTGACTTGCATTTAACGATTGAGGTGTCTTGTAACGTTCCTAGCTAGAGTTTATCGTAGTTGACGCTAGTTAGACCTCTAGGAAAATAGCTTGATACGCTCTTTTGGTTGCATGATTGGTCTTCCCTCACATTGCTTGACTTAGTCACTTTGACCTCCCAATTAGTTGAATCCATTACGATTACATGTGGATCCTAGCCCTAGTGTTTTACATACTTGATTCCATTCGTTATTTAGTCATCCTTGTCCTAATTTACATACCTACACCCTACCATTTCGGAGTAGCTTGTCTAAGGCAATAGATAAATTGCCCATCGTTCCTTAGTGGTTCGACCCTCAGCTTACCATTATACTTGTGTAAGGGTGTGTTGAGAGATTACAAATTTTGTTTGGCCTAGGGCAGGGGTTAGTTTCAACGACCTAGTTCCGACCCTTCGTCAATATGGCGCCGTTGCCGGGGAATGGTGTTGTGATTGTGTACTGTTGTTGAGTCTATTCCATCTTATTCAAAAACACAAAAAGATTTTCTTCTTTCTTTTAGGCTACACTTGTAGCCGCGTTACTAACAATTTATTTTGAGTTTTTGCATGCATAGTAGAACTCGTGATAGATCCTTAGTTCCTTTGGATCCGGAAATTGAAAGAACTCTTTCACGAAGAAGGATAGCCAACCGATCTTTGAGCCTAAGTTCCTCAAGTGAAGAAGAGTTTGAGGAAGAAGAAGAGCAAATCATGGGAGAGAATCCAATAGTAGCTTTGAAGGAGTTGGGGATTCCCGGTGCTTATAGGTTTGAGAGCGGCATTGCTCCACCTGCAATACCGTCGAACGATTTTGAAATAAGACCGACCATGATTACTTTGATAGAACGAAGGCAATTTAGTGGAGCCAAGAGTGAGAGACCGTTGAATCTCCTTAAGGAATTTGAGAAGTATTGTAATACTATCAAGGTGAACGACATTTCTCAAGAGTTCATTCAGCTAAAGTTGTTTCCCTTTTCTCTTATTGGTCGTGCCTTAAAGTGGTTGGATAAGGAGGTTAAGCCCAATTCCCTTAGGACGTGGGATGAAGTCACAAAGGCTTTCATGTCTCGATTTTACCCACAAAAGAAGACGGCGGAGGCTAGAGCCTTGATCCAAGGATTCAAACAAAGGCATAATGAGAATCTTTATGAAGCATGGGAGAGGTACAAGGAGTACCAAAGAGAGTGCCCACATCAAGGAATTCCTACCTATCAAGTGATACAAATTTTTTATGGAGGCTTGAGTGCCCAAGGCAAGTCATGCCTAGATGGAGGAGCCGGAGGTCCTATAATGAATAAGACGGAAGAAGAGGTAGTTGACATAATTGAGGGTGTGGTGAGCTACTATATCGATTGGCAAGAAGGAGAGAGGGAGTCTACGAGCAAGAGTGGCTCGACAGTTTATTCGGTGGATCATCTTAATGCGATTAACAACTTGTCCTCCCAAATTTTAAATCTAGGGAAGGAAATGACATCGATCAAAGCAAAGCTTGAGAGTGTTTCTATGAATTCGTTGAGTCTGCCCTCCCAATCCAAAGGGAGAGGTACACTTTCTAACTCTTCTCCTTCTACTTCCAATAACATGCCAAGTGGTTGTCTATTTTGTGATTCTTGTGGATCTTATGATCATGATTCTTCCATGTGTTCTCAAACTTTTGTTGATGGATGTGATGATGTTGAAAATAATGAATGTGAACATGTGAACTTTGTGTCTAATGCCAATGGTGGTCAAAGGTTTGATGGACCTAAGAATTTTGGCAATAGGAATTCTCACCCCCAAGGTGGTTTCGATAACTACAACAATGGAGGCTATAGGAACCAAGGAAACCAAAGTTTCCGAGGTAACTATAACAACCAAGGTTATAGTAATCAAAACCCAAGCCAAGGCTATGCAAACCAAAGTCAATCTCAAGGCTTTGGTAGCCATTACCATAATGGTGGCAATAATCAAGGCCAAGGCAATTGGAACAACAGCTAAAATCGGGGAAATTTTTAAAATAACAACCAAAGGGGACCCCCACCCGGTTTTGCTCCAAAGTCTCAAGCCAATGGTGAAAATTCTTATTCCCAACCATCATCATTTAAGACAAATTTGGAAGAAATGATTGATAACTAAACCAAGATCATAAACACCTATATGGCGGTGAGTGACAAGAAATTTAATGAGATGATGACTCATAACAAAATGCTTGAGACACAAATAAACCAACTATCCAACACTCTAAAGGATTATGCTAGTCCATCCTCTTTGCCTTCTCAAGGAGTGGAACCTAAGAAACCCATATATTCTATCACTACTAAGAATGGGAGAGTTCTTAATGAGGGAGTTTCAAGGTCCATTGAGGAGGATGAGGAGAGGAGTGACCCAAGAGAGGAAGTTGAGAAGGTTGTGTCTAAGAGTGAATAGATGAACAATTTGGAAAGTTTCTTGCTATGCTCAGGGAAGTTCACCCTTCTATTACCTTCACCGATGCAATTACCCAATGCCTAGGTACTCTAAGTTCCTTAAGGAGATTTTGAGCGGGAAGAGAAAGTGTAATGAGGTTGATTCGGTTGAATTTGGGAATTTTTGTAGTGCTTTCATTCATAATGAGTTGCCCAAGAAGATGGAGGATCTGGGTAATTTCTCTATTCCATGTGAGATCAAAGGAAAAATGTTTGATAATGCTTTTTGTGAACTTGGATCTGGTGTGAGCGTCATGCCTTATTCCACTTTCAAGAAACTCAAGCTAGGTGAGCTCCTCCCATCTGACATAACCCTTCAATTGGCCGATCGGACTATTATGATTCCAAAGGGGAGAGTTGAGGATGTTCCTCTTAAGATAGGAGGGTTCACTATTCCCGTTGATTTCATTGTGTTAGAGATTGCGGAAGATGACCATATCCCCATCATTTTAGAAAGACCTTTCTTAGCCACTTCGGGAGCCTTAATAGATGTGAAAGGAGGTCGTATTACCTTGAGATTTGGTAAGAAAGAGGAAAGTTTTGAGTTGAAACCAATGCATGAGTCTTTGTCTCTTGTGCAAGGAATTATGTGTGCTAATTGTCTTCGCTCTATTGATAATGTGTGCATGATTAATTCTTCAACTAACGATGTTCTTGAGATTTGTGATGATGCTCTTTCAAGTTTATGGACGAGGAGGAAGTTGAAATTCCTCATTGGTTTGAGCTCTATCCTCAAGATGAAGGCGATGTTTCCATGAGTATGGATGGTGAGGAAACATCTACAATGAACAACGAGCCAAAGAAAAAAAGCTCGTGATTCTAAGAAGAAGATAGAGAGAAAGAAGTTATGGAAAGAAAAATTTGCAATTGAAAAGTCTTTGAAGGAAGTTTCATTAAGCAACAACAAGAGGTTGCTAGAAGTTAAAGAGTATTTTGCTCTTTCCGCTACTTTGAAGAAGATGGTGTTCTTTGACCCTCCATGATTTGGAGGAAGGGTCGAGCTTAGGACCATAAGCAAGCGCTTCCCGGGAGGCAACCCGGAGATTTCTAACTTTTATTTTTGATTTTTGAATTTTTCTTATTTTTCCTTCTTTTAGTTTCTTTTCTTTCACTTTTCTACTTGTTTGGATTTGTAGGTTGCATTTTTGGGAATTGGATTTCATCAAGTGAGCATGAGGAATGAGAAGGTGTTTGCGGTTTTTGATGTGATTATATTTGATATCATCGGAATTTGAGGTAAAAGGGTAAGAGTTTTAGTGAGGTAAGATAGGGAATTTTGTGCTTTAAGTTGAAGGAATTTTGCACTTGGTGGGTTCATGTGGTGCTACCATTATTTTGGGATTTTGAACCCACTAAAATCTTGATTTGAATATGCCACTTTCAGTGGGTTCAAGAGCCCAAATGTTGATCTTGATCGATAAACCCACCGATGAACGCACTAAAAATTAAAATAAAAATAAAGAATCGGGATAGGCTCATGTGCGGGCGCGCACGTGATTGGTGCTGCCGCGCACCTGGCTGCCGCGGCTGCGCACCTGCCCGTGCCCCCCTTATCTTCCTTCCTTCCTTCTTTCATTTCCCCTTATTTCCTCCTTCTACATTCGACCCCCATCAACCTCAAACCCTTGAAACCGCACCCTTCCTTCTCATTCTCATCAAATTTCAACACAAATCACTCAATTTTTCACTTCAAATTCACTAATAACTCCTACATTTTCATCTAAATCATCAAATTCATACTACTTTCACCAAATTAAACCTCCAATATCTCTCCTCCATACTTGGGTATAATTTGGGGCTTTTCAATTTGGTGGGAATTGGTGGCTAAAAGTGGTTCAATCTTGCTTCATTTATGGTATAATCATCTTATCTAGCTTTTAATTGCTTAATTATGTCATATATTTGCAAGTTTTGATTTGTTCATGAGCATGAATAGTAGTAGTATCATTTTTGATGATTTTGATGATTGATATTGGTTTTGGATGATTAAATTGATTTTTTTGTTGTTTGATTGCAACTCACATTGTGTTTTTTGTTGATTTTTTAGCATTTGTGAGCAATTTTGTTGAGAAATTTGGAATTTGAATTTTGGTAGTTTGGGTAGTAAGGTACTATTGTGGTATTGGTTTGTTCTTCTTGGGATTTTGATTGTGTGGGAAGAAATTGTTGGTTGTTTGGTGTTGTTTGACAATTTGGATTGGAATTGTTATTGGTGGAAATTGAAGTTCTTGGTTGGTGAATTTTGCGGATTGTTGTTGGAAATTTTGTGATTGGTTTTTGTGATCATACACTTGGAGTTCATCATGTCGAGAGTCCTCAAAAACCTTGTCAAGAAACCCAAAACAAACACCTCCAATGATGAACCTACCCCAAGCACATTCACCTCCCAAACACGCAAATTACTCCACCACCCAAAATAAAAATCCATGATCAAAAACAAAAGAACCGACACCATCAATTAAAGGAAAACCGCTCCCTCAAGCCCACAAGGCACTACTTCCAACCCGACATGTCCGCGTTTGGGATTGATGAGGATGTAAGGGAGTTGATGATCAACCTTCGGATGGTCACATTCATCTCCCATAGCTACCGCACCTATGTTGAGCCCACTCTCGAGTTCTTTACTACGGTTGAGATAGTTCCCGTAAAAGGTCAATATAGGGTTCGCTTCCAGATTTTCAACAACTTCTTCGACCATTCCTTAGAGCTATTCAATGCCGCTCTAGATTTTGTTCATCATGGTGACATTTTGGATCTAGAGCCTTATATTTTTGAGGAGTATGATCAGGATTCTTGGTGGGATGATATCTCCGGAGGTGGTGAGTTTGTCACCAAGCAGGCCAAGATTAGCAAAGTGTACCAACCTTGTCTTTGGGTTGTTCACCGTCTTTTGGGGTACTCGGTTTTCCCCAAGCAAGAGTTGGGCAAGATGAGCAAATTGGAGCTCAAAATTTTATGGTTCGCCACTAGAGGAGAATATCGTTTCCGGTTGAACTTGGGGTACATCTTTGCCACTTACTGTGTAGCTTTGCAAGATCGGGACACCGGGGAGATTCCTTGTAGGGGAATGGTCACTAGGATCTTGACCAATCTCCACCTTGATCATCATTTGCCATATTGCAAGCCAGTTGGAGATGACGCCTCCATATACCTTGATATGAAACAATTAGGGCAAATTCAATTTATCTCCAAGCATTATGAGGAGGGGCATTATGAGTGACTTCGGGATAACAAGCATTGGTGCTACCTTCCCAACCCATCTTTGACATCTCTCCACCGAACGGACACCCCCTAATGTGTGGCATGTCCCCAAGAACTTCCGTCGCCCCTTCTTTGACTCCGATGAGGAAGAAGAAGAAGAAGAAGAAGAAGAAGAAGAAGAAGAAGAAGAAGAAGAAGAAGAAGAAGAGGAAGAAGAGCCACAAAATCAACAACATCAACAAGGGCAAGTGCAACAACCTCAATTTGCTAGCTCCAACCTGGAGGCCCTAAGCAACCAAATGAGTGGGTTGCAAATTCTCTTAGAGGGCATGTATGACCAAGATTTGAGGCCCTCTACTCCCAAATGCGAGGTATTTCCGAAATGCAACAAGGTATGTTCATTCAACAACAACTCTATGATGCGGAGGTTAACCGAGGGAGCATCACTCCCCCGGTTAACTATCCTTACTTTCCACCCCTGCAAGGTCCTTTACCTTCGCATGGGCATCCTTTAATTGCAAGGGCCTTTAGAGCCCGGTACCCAGCCTCGTTCTTACCCGGACAAGCATGGTAACTACGATTACCGTGCTCCCGGAGGGTGTGACTATAGGGGTGACCCTAATTACCCCTATGTGCACCCTAACCATCCATTTGAGCTTGCCTTGCCCGAGCCATTCACACCTCTTACCCCTTGGCAGCAAGATAACTTCAAGGGGCATTATGGTTGGCCCGAGGGATTCACCGAAGGTTGGGCTCCTTACTCACCCCCAACCTTCGATGACTACATGGGCAACAATGATTCCAATGAGGTCGGGCCAAGTGGTGGTGGTAATGATGAGTCTTAGTTCCCTCACTTTTGCGCCTTTTACCTCCATCCCTTATGTTTTATGTGCTTGATTTGTATTGTTAGGATGTTGAGATGTATTCATGTTTATCTTGGGGGAACTTCATTTGTATCTCGGTTTCCAATATTTGTTGTTGTTGCTTACCTTGTATCCTATTTGCCTCTTGCATGATGGTTTTCATTTCTTGGTCTCTAGTCTTGATGATGCTTGTTGCTAGTCCCATGAGCTTGTTTTGCCATTGTTGTTGTGATGTTTTCTTTATGATGATGTTGATTGCTTCTAGCTCCCTTATATCCAAAACCCTTGAATCCAAATCCCTTTGAATCCAAATCTTGTAGTCTAGTGTCTTTTAGTTAGTTAGTTGTTTAGTTCTTTACTTAGTCTTTCTTTACTTTCCTTTTTGGTCTTTGTTAGCTTAGTTTTCTTAGTTGTTTAGTGTTTTTGTTAGCTTCGTTTAGTTTTACTTTATATTATCTTTTTCTTTTGTTTTGAAGTTACTAACCTTTTTCTTTGTTTATAGCTTCTTTTGCTTTTTCTTGTTCTCCATGGATTTTTGATGATGCTAACGATTTTGGAGCGCAACGAATGTGGTTCTTTCTATCGCCTTTGTTTATTATTCTAAGCGTGGATAGCCCGATGAGACCTTTCTAATTTTTCTTTTTATTTTCTTTGGATGCTTAGATTAGGTTTAGTTTAGGGGAAGTTGAACGGTTCGAGGACGATTGCTTGTTAACACGTATTGTGTTTGGGATAGTTGACGATGTTGTCATTCAATCACTTGTATGTCGATTGGGATATATGTGTTTAACTTGCTTTCTAGTTCCTTTCTCAATTTTTCCTATTCTTCCTTTATCTATGGCTTTCCTTTTCTTTTCTTTTCCTTTTATTTTTCTTTTCCCTTATTTTTACTTTCTTCTTGTATTGGTGGTATGCTTTTGAGGCTTGTTTTTCACCCCTTTTTGTTTTCCTTTTGAATTGGACTTTGTACATTGGACTTTGTCTTTTGAATGAGTTTCTTCCTAGGTAGTATAGGTATGCACGGTTTGAGACTATGCTTGGTTGACTCTAGGATAGGTGTATGCTAGGGTAGTTGGTTTGAACTAGGAGAATCATGAAGCCGGATTCTACTTGTTTGTGGCATGTTGGTAGTTGCTCCCTATAGTCGATTTGACTCCACTAGTGAGTTTTTGCTACATCCATGTGAGGTTCATTGTTTTTCAAGCCTTCAACCTATTTTGTATGAGCGCGCGTGGATACTTGACTATTGCGGACCTAATCTATAAAGCTTGATTTATAATTCTTAAACCCAAGACCGAGCTATCTAGGGAGGACAAAGGCATCCTTTCGGGGTGGTATTTTTCATTTTAGGATAGTTTGTTTCATCTTTTTTTTTTTGGGTTTCATTTGCCTTCTTGCAACCATTTGAGCCTATTACCTTCTTTTCAATCCACATCTTTAGATCTTTGGCCTTTTGTTTCATTTTCTTTCTTTTCTTGTTTTTTGTGAAGCAATTGATCATTCTTGATGGAGTTTGTGGTGAAAAAGTTAGGATATGTGGTTCCCTTGATGCAAGCTTGTGTTATGTTTTCTTTGTGAATAATGGCAAATGTGTATAAGTAAAAGCCGTCCTAAATTAATAAAAGGCATGGACAAATAAGTGCAACATTGAAAAATATTTTGATGTATTCTTTTCTCCTTTTAAGCATTGAGGA